AGATGAAAATTGATACTCTGCTTAAACCAGGCCCCTTTCCTTTTATCTCATGGAATATTTGCTGTCTAGGATGCTTTACTAATAGCATATCATCAATTATTATAGTGAAATGACCATAGTAACTGCACATTAATGGTGGGGTCTTCCACGAATATGCGCTAATCTCCTCTCTTGCCAAGGGAATAGCTTTTGTCACAGAAGCTTACTTTTCTAAATTCTGATACTTGTTTAGTCGTACCATCAGCTGCCCTGGAGGTAGGGTTTCAGGTCTTTTATGATTGACAATAATTTGACTTGAGCCCAACAAACTAATAGTGTCGAACAAATAGTAATGAGTCTCAAATGCTCAATCACATGGCTCTTTTTCCTCTTGTTGCTGAGGATTCAAATCCTTTATACCCCACTCTGGGTGCTCTCCTTACATAATTCAGCATCCGTCCCACTTGTCTTTTCCTGATGATTTCATCTAATAAGTGCTAGTTTCTCCAAAAGATTTGATTTTCATCCCGTCATTCCTTTATGCAATGTGACTTCACCGATGCAATGTTGCAAAGCATTCTGTGGCCGTTCCTCTTAAATTAGTGACCATTAGTCACCAGGTATGTGGTGATGTATTGTTAATTTTGTCCATTTACTGCTGTTAGGCCCCATCTTCTAGTGTTACCAAGGTATACCTTTTCTTATCAAATTCTTCATGTAAAGAAACATCAAGTTTGGTGAAATCAATGGGAAAATTTGCTTCCTCAATTCTGCAAAAAGAACATAAAATTTTGCAGTTGAGGCATAGCTTGATTGTCTGCAGTAGACTTGATATTTTGAACACCAGCCAGATTTGTATTGTCAGATACTTCTCTAAAGCATGAACTGTGATGATATCTGACAGACTCACAGATTCTTTTATAATTCTGTCTTTGTCTTGCAGTTGCTTGAAAAAAAAGAATTCTTGGAAAATATCATCTCTCGAACCCCTCTTCAACGTGTTGGAGAACCAGAAGAAGTCTCATCCATGGTAGCATTCCTTTGCCTTCCTGCTTCTTCTTATATCACTGGACAGATTATTTCTGTCGATGGAGGATTAACAGTTAACGCTTTTAATCCCGGCATGAAACTAGATTGAAACAAAAACACCCCACCCTTCTCATCCTGATCTTCAGCATTAACACATGATCCTTCTCTTTGTTCTTATAAGCTCCTATGATCTTGTTAAATGGGTGACTATCTCCCCTCTCATTGTTCATTTCAATGGTGTGTTAACAATTTGTCATTGATAACTTTCATTTGCTTACAGCTTTTACCGCAACAAAAATGGCAAATTTCCTACACGAAAGTTTTCAACTTTCTACTTCAGCACATCATGCTCTTGCATTCAACCACTTGGTTATGAACAATCTTTGCATATTTTGGCTTTCGTTTTCAAAACCCAAATTGAAAATTTAAATAATATCAAGATCATTTCCTTCGAGATTGATTTGATTGTTGTTATTTGTCATCGTAACGTAAAAAAATGACAAAAAGCTCAATCTTTTATACTCTTTAAGATAAAAAATCAAATAAAATATCAAAAATTTTAAAACAAAAGGTCTAACCTTATTTGGTAGATAAAAAATGAGTAAAATATAAAATAAAATTCTAAAAAAAAAAAGGGGTTTGGGTAATCTTCCCAACATGTTGTCTCAAATGTCTAGAAATTTTGTGCCGTTAATGTCTATTTTAATGCTATGAAATTTTGTGACTGATAACATATGCAAATATCTTCTTATTATTGTATAACTATAAAACTGGGGACAGCCTAGCAGGAATGCCGTGAAGCTAACCTTTATAGAATGCATCAGCGGCACAGCAGCTGTTTCACCAAAATTAATGTTATTGCAGTTGCAACATCCGGGGAAACCTCAAAGAGAAGAAATAAAAATCTCTGACTGTCCTGTCTTTGGTTTGATCGAAACCCAAGGCTTTCCTAAGGGACAACACCTTTCAGCTCACGCCTTCCTGTCTACACGCTTACGATCAACCACCTAAACCTCAACGCACTCCAAAAATGATAGTTTGTATTTCTAGTGGTGAATTAAATTAATAAGATAATTAAATAAATAATAATAATTTTTTTATAAATATAAAAATATTTCGAGTCGGATTCGAATCTTAAAAATCTTATCCGAAACTACACTCAAGAACTTAAAAGGTCACCCGACCCATATAGACTTAACATTTTTAAAAAATTAAATAAATTTTAATTTTTTATTAAATTTAATTGAGTTATTTTTTATTTTAATTTAAATAATTTTTTATAATTAATTATTATTAATAAAAATATATTAATATAATATAATAACATAATCACCTATATTTTTTATGTTTCATGTTAGTGTTTTTTTATAAAAATAAAAATATATAAATTTAATTTCATAAAAAATAAAAATATATTTAAATTTTATTAAATAAATTAATGATTTTTTTAACTTAACCATAGATGAGAAAATAAAAGGGCAAATTAACTATGGTTAAGCTTAGAGCCTTTAAAAGAGGGGTTGAGGTTAGGTCGAGTAGGCTACTGAAAATGTAATGCTTTCTCTGTCACGTGGCACTGATCTTTTGAGGCGTCCCCTCATGCTTGCCAGCCAAAACCTTCTACGTGGCAATTTTTAATTGGTTGAAATTCCGCTGGTTGATCCCAGCCTTTATTTTTGTTTCTTTAATTGTGGTCTATGGCTCTAGGGTCTAGCTCCACGTTTTTTGTAGCATTTAAAAATACTAAAACGATGATTCAACTACACCGCTACACGTGTATTATGGTGGGGGGGGGTTCCATGTGATTATGTAAGAAAACAGGTCCTTCTCTGCAATATTCTTTATTTTTCTGGAATGGAATTGCATTTTTTATTCCAACCATGTTTGTTTGTTCTAAAATCTAATTTTTAACTTTAAAATTTAAACTATCTTTTTTTGTCTAACTATGAATACAACTATTTTAAAATACATGATTTCTAATCTTATAAAAATTTTAATTAGATTAATGTTTGTTTATCGAAGTTTCGATATCATTATCACATATATATCACATCAAGTATTTTTAAAAAATTAACAAGATACTTTAATCTTATATTCAGTATATAAAAAGATTATAAAAACTTATTAGTATAAGTGACATATATCACATTAGATTTAATTTTAAAAAAAGTAATTATCTCTTGATCAAAATAATAGTAAAACTAATTTAATTTAAATTTACTCATGCTAAGTATTTTCAGAGAAAGATAAACACAATAATAAAGACGTGAAAAAACGTACTGATCCCATGCCACTTGCACTTGATAAAGAAAATCAAATGAAATTCGTGTAAAAATGACATCATAACTTTTGAAACTAATGATGCATGCAATAATTAATAAATTTAGTGACTAAGTTAAGTATAATAAAATATTTTAGTATAATATGGGGGCTGATTGTGAGTTTTGGGAAAAGCCTAGGGGAAGGAGTGGAAATTAGGTAGGTGATGAAATTGCAAACAAGGCCGGCAGATTATAAAACTTTTTTAAGGCCAAGGGCATGCCCGAAACGTGTTAAAACGCCAGCAACGAGGGGAGGGGTTGGCGCACATTCGGATCCACATCAGCATAGGACACGTGTCGAATATTGGCTTTAGCGGAGCCTCAGATATTCTGCAAGGCTTCCACACGTGTCCAAAATTTTCTCTGTTACGTAGACGCTTTCATTGCACAACTTGGGCTAAACTAGCAGAATTTAGTAAAAGACAGACAGCCCCATTTTAGATTAATTATTCCCCTAATCGCAACCCCCAGGAGCGTAAGCTCACGCTCCTTCCATTGCTAATTTATTTTTTTGATTTAAAACCAAATCACAATTATGGAAAATGGATTAATGGTACTAGTATACTGGAAAAATTGTTTTATCATACATAAGAATTGAAAAATCAAAAAGTTAAAAGGAAAATAATTTGTTTCCATTTGTGTAATGACAACTTTATTATAAAATAACATATTCAATTATTTTTTATAAAAATAATTTAAAAAATCAAATATACAATAAACAAGAATTATGCTGCTTATTTTCTCTTCTCACCTTATATAAATAAATGTTAAATATGCAAGTTTAAGAACTTAAATTAATAAATGTTTATCATTTAGATAGGATATGTCTTGAAATTATAAATAAGTGTCTTCTTTCACTCAATAGATATGTTTTTTAAATTAAAAATATAAATCAATAATAAACAATATCAAAATTTATCTAACTTTGCATTAATGTGAGACTTCATTAAAAAAATTTTAAAGTTACAATAAATTCGGATCAAAATGAGTTCCTAC